ACCCCAAATGTCCCCCCCTGGGGACCCCAAATTCTGGGGGGGGCTCTGGGCGCCTCGAGATGAATCGACCACGTGGTTAAAAGTCTTGTTTTTGGTTGTTTTTTGGTTGTTTTTCACACAAAAATGGGGATCCCGGTCGCTGCGGCGGCACCCGCCCCACCGGGGCAGCACCCACCATGTTTGGGGGGTCTCCAGTTCAGCTCTAGCACAGGGTGATGGGTCCAACTGGGGGATCTCCAACTCATCCAGATCCTACTGGTGTAGGGTTGACTGCTCCAACTGGGGGATCTCCAACTCATCCAGATCCTACTGGTGTGGGGTTGACTGGGCCAACTGGGGGATCCCCAACTCAGCCCCATCTTGTTGGTGATGGGGATGACTGGGGTCCCCCCAGTTCAGATCTGGTGTGGGGTGATGGGGGCAACTGGGGGATGCCCAGTTTAGCTGTGGTGTGGGGTGAATGGGACAACTGGGGTGTCACCAACTCATCCAGATCCTACTGGTGTAGGGTTGACTGGGACAACTGGGGGGTCTCCAACTCATGCAGATCCTATTGGCTTAGGGTTGACTGGGACAACTGGGGGATCCCCAACTCATCCAGATCCTATTGGTGTAGGGTTGCCTGGGCCAACTGGGGGATCTCCAACTCATCCAGATCCTACTGGTGTGGGGTGATGGGGCCGACTGGGGGATCCCAAACTCATCCAGATCCTATTGGCTTAAGGTTGACTGGGCCAACTGGTGAACCCCTCAACTCAACCCTAACACGACGTGATCGTTTCCCCACCACACCCCCCTCGTTTGGTGTAGGGTTGACTGGGCCAACTGGGGGATCCCCAACTCATCCAGATCCTACTGGTGTAGGGTTGACTGGGCCAACTGGGGGATCCCCAACTCATCCAGATCCTACTGGTGTAGGGTTGACTGGGCCAACTGGGGGATCTCCAACTCATCCAGATCCTACTGGTGTGGGGTGATGGGGCCGACTGGGGGATCTCCAACTCATCCAGATCCTCTTGATGTTGAGTTGACTGTGCCAACCGGTGAACCCCTCAACTCAACCCTAACACGACGTGATCGTTTCCCCACCACACCCCCCTCGTTCCCCATCACGAAGCAACGGTAACAATTCCTCGGTGAGCCGGTAACGTTTCCCTTGCCAAAAAAAATGGGTGGGGGGTTTTTCCAACCCCTCTTCGTACTCAAAACAAGAACTCAACTCCAAAGCCAACGCCGAACGTACCAACCCAACGCCGCCCGTTTTTACCGGTGCCGGATGATAAAGTCGTCCATTTTCCGGTAATACCAGTAAATTTTCTGGTTGGAATGGTACCACCAAACCTTCTCCACCACCACAATAAGACAGGAACTGGTTTTTACCGGATCCTGGTAAAAATTGAGTGAAAACAACGGGACGATCATCGCAACGGAGGAAATTCCGTTCCCGGCCGCAACGGGAAAGGAAAGGGAATTCCATTTCGTAACGGCCGCTCCGGTTTCTTTCCAGTTGTTTGAAGAAAAAAGTGAGGAATTTCACATCTGGATGGAGAGATGGGTAATTAACCGCTAATTAATCACCTGCTGATGGGGTAATTAAGCCGCCGGGTTGGTTTTGTTAATGGGTTTTCATTGTAGATGGGGTCGGGGGAAGGGAGAAGCGCTGGGTTCGGGGTGGGATTGTCGTGCTGGGAAGGGAAAATGGGGGGTGTTAATAGCAGGGAGTGCTTAATTAATTAGGTAATTAATTAGGTGATTAATTGGGTAATTAATTAGGTGATTAATAATGTAATTAATATGCATAATAAGGTAATTAATATGTAACTAGCACTCGGTGGCTGCTTTGCCCATCAGAGTTGGGGGGTGTCCCCGGTTGCCGAGGGTTCAGCCTCCTCGTTAAGGATGAAACGCCAATTAAGGATGAAATCCCAATTAAGGAGCAGATCCTGATTAAGGATTAGATCCTCAAGATTGGGGTCCTAATTAAGATTGGGATCCAAATTAAGGATGGGATCCTCATTAAGATTGGGATCCTCATTAAGATTGGGATCCTCATTAAGATTGGGGTCCTAATTAAGGATGGGATCCTAATTAAGGATGGGATCCTCATTAAGATTGGGATCCTCATTAAGGATGGGATCCTCATTAAGATTGGGATCCTCATTAAGATTGGGATCCAAATTAAGGATGGGATCCTCATTAAGATTGGGATCCTCATTAAGATTGGGGTCCTCATTAAGGATGGGGTCCTAATTAAGGATGGGGTCCTAATTTAGGATGGGATCCTCATTAAGATTGGGATGCAAATTAAGGATGGGATCCTCATTAAGATTGGGATCCTCATTAAGGATGGGATCCTCATTAAGACTGGGATCCTCATTAAGATTGGGGTCCTCATTAAGACTGGGGTCCTAATTAAGGATGGGATCCAAATTAAGGATGGGATCCTAATTAAGATTGGGGTCCTCATTAAGATTGGGGTCCTCATTAAGATTGGGATCCTCATTAAGGATGGGATCCTCATTAAGGATGGGGTCCTAATTAAGATTGGGATGCAAATTAAGAATGGGATCCTCATTAAGATTGGGATCCTAATTAGGATTGGGGTCCTAATTAAGCATGGGATCGTAATTAAGGACAGGATCCTGATGAAGGGTGATGTGTGGGAGGCGCCCCGGCGAGGTGAGGGGGGTCTGGGGGGGTTTTTGGGGGGTCCCCCCGGTACCTTTGAAGCAGGTGATGAAGTTCTTGACTTTGGTGTCGTCCAGGAAAAGCTGCAGAAAAGCAGGAAAATGCCTCAAAATTCTCAAAATCCCTGGTAGGTCCAGGATCTGGGTTGGGATCCACCCAGGATCCTTCTGGGATCCACCCAGGATCTGTCCAGGATCCATCCAGGATCCTTCTGGGATCCACCCAGGATCTGTCCATGATCCATCCAGGCTCTGTCCTGAGTCAATTTAAGGTTTTTTTGGGGGTTGTCCAAGATCTTTTGGGGATCTGGCTGGGATCCTTTTGGGATCCACTCAGGATCTTTCCAGGATCCATCCAGGATCCTTTTGGGATCCACCTGGGGTCTGTCCAGGATCCTTTTGGGATCAATCCAGGCTGTCTCCTGAGTAAATTTAGGGGTTTTGGGGGGGTTTGTCCAGGATCTTTTGGGGATCTGGCTGGGATCCTTTTGGGATCCATCCAGGGTCTGTCCTGAGTCAATTTAGGGTTTTTTGGGGGGGTTGTCCAGGATCTTTTTGGGATCTGGTTTGGGATCCTTATGGGATCCATCCAGGATCCATTTGGGATCCACCCAGGGTCTGTCCAGGATCCGTTTGGGATCCACCCAGGGCCTGTCTGGAGTCCATTGAGGGTTTTTTGGGAGGTTTGTTCAGGGTTTGTTTGGGATCTCCTTGGGATCAACCCAGGGTCTGTGTCTGGGATCTGTCCTGAGTCCATCCAGGGGTGTTTGGGATCTGACTGGGATCTGTCTGGGCTCTCTTTGGGATCTCTCTGGGATCAATCCAGGTCTGTCTGGGATCCATCTGGGGTCTGTTTGGGATCTGACTGGGATCTGTCCTGAGCTCATCCAGGGTTTTTTTGGGGAATCTTTTTGGGATCTATCTGTCATCTCTCTGGGGTGTGACAGGGATCTGTCCTGAGACCATCCAAGGTTTTTGGGGGTCTGTTTGGGATCTGTCTGGGATCTTTTTAGGATCTGTTTGGGATCTGTTTGGGATTTATCTGGGATCTGTCTGGGAACCATCCAAGTTCCTTCTGGGATCTGTCTTGGGTCCATGTGAGATCTGTCTGGGATCTGTCCTCAGTCCATCCAGGGGTTTTGGGGGGCTGTTTGGGATCTGTCTGGGATCAATCCAAGATCTGTCTGGGATCCATCTGGGGTCCATGTCTTGGGTCCATGGGGGATCTGTTTGGGATCTGACTGGGATCTGTCCTGAGTCCATCCAGGGTTTTTTGGGGATCTGTTTGGGATCTGTCCTGAGTCCATCCAAGGTTTTTTGGGGATCTGTTTGGGATCTGTCCTGAGTCCATATGAGTTTTTTGGGGGTCTGTTTGGAATCCGTCTGGGATCTATTTGGGATCCATCCAAGTTCTTTCTGGGATCTGTCTTGGGTCTATACAAGATCTGTCTGGGATCTGTCCTGAGTCCATCCAGGGGTGTTTGGGATCTGACTGGGATCGGTTTGGGGGGGTCTCACTGGGATCTCACTGGGATCTCACTGGGATGTGACTGGGATCTCACTGGGATCCATCCCGGGTCTGCTGGGATCTGTCCTGAGCCCATTTAGGGTCTTTTTTGGGGATCCATCTGGTACC